AAAAAAAAAAAAAAACAGCAAGGATCTCGAAATAGAACATAATACAAACATTTAGGGTTCAATATGCGTTTTAGTCAACATTCTGATGAGATCATTTTGAATCTAGAGGATAATGTGAATTTATTTTTCTCTGAGTAATAAGGCTTATCAAGGTGAATCTCACTTTTTTTCAGCATGACGTTTAAAACATAAAAGAAAATCCTTCTGCTTAAAGTTATCATAGATACACAGCTAATATTTGAAGTAATTTTATAAGTTGAGTGGATGCCTGTGTGGCTTTGGGACTGTAGGGAGTTTATTTAGTAGAAAATGTCTTGCAAAGATGACTCTAGAATGAAAATGTCATACTTTGCATATTTCATTTATTCAGCTAGCTTTTATCTGTGCCCACCAGGGGCTATATTGTAAACAGGGGAGACTCAGGCCCAGCCATTACACAGTAACAATTAGCAGAACATCCCTGAAGGTGCACTGGAGCCTGGAAATGATTTCAAATCGGGTTTGTGGGCAGAATCACTAAACCCGTGATAGAGTCAAAAGTTTTCAAAATATTTTTTTGTGTTGTTATCCAGATATAGAATTGAGAGCTGCTACCTTAGTAGTCATAAGGGTTAAAAGGTTTGGGCAAGATAGCATCTGCAGTGACTAATGGTGGCAACAAATGAAGAAACTAAAATATAAAGAAAGATAAAGAAGCAAATAACCTTGGTTGTATTGGTGGACGGTTAGCTGACCTAAAAAAGTTGGACAGACTTTGTTGCAAATAACAACAGTAAGAAAATCAAAACTGTTAAATTTGAGGGACTAGTGGCCAACAAAAAACCTCCATCAAAATGGAATCTGAGTAGATTAATTCAGCCAGTCATTATCCTTATCACCTCTTGTTCAGCTGTTCATTAGTATTCACCATGGTTAATGGATCATCAGAGTCAATTTCTGGCTCAAACATGGCCAGAGGCAATGAAAGTATATTCTTATCAGCACAATTTGAAAACAGGTCATTTGTATTGGAGTCACCATTCTTGTCATTGCAAAAATCTGGAAAATGCAGCTCTCAAAGTTAAACTTTCCCGTTTCAGTTAGTAGAAGTGCTTTGACTACATACTACAGAAGAAATTGACTCTGCTCAATGTTTGTGTTTACTTAAAAATGTTCAGTTTCGAAATGAAGGCTTTGTCCAAAGTTTTCGGAATATTTACCCTGGATCTGCCCACAGCCCCATCATAATCTTCTGTATCTCAGAAAGTACAAGTCTTCATCTAAAATCCATGTCATAAACCCATATTGTATTAATGTCAGAATAAGTTGAAGTTTTTATAAAAAAGCAGACCTTTGCTAATGCCAGTGGAGGCTGGAATAGTCTCCCTTTAATAGCATTTTGAAAACATATCATGCAGATTCAGTTTATCACCTTTTCTTTTTGCTGCCTACAGCACAACGTGAACTATCAACTTATTAAAAAGGTTCTGGAAAAACAGAATAACTTCCAACTGCATCAGATTAAAAAAAGATTTATTGAACATTCCTCCAAAAATATTAAAATGTGCTCTGCTTTGGTATCAACTCATGTACTGTACATTAATAATACAGACTCTCTTTGTGCTTAAATTTAAACACCAGAAAAGAAGTATAGCACAGAATTTACAATAGCACAGTATTTACAGCTTCTCCTGCACATTTTATCTTAAACAATGGGAAGCTGAGTGAACAAGATGCTGGTAGGAGCATAGCAAACAATTTATACAAACCAAACATATCACACTGAAAATAGATCTTTAAACAATAAAGTATTTTGTTCCCTTATGAAAGTATTTTCATTGGTAGACTATCACCTATACTGCATGTTAATTCAGAGAGTTTAAGATATTGCAGAGTGACTTTTAAAAAGGTAAATTATGAACTAATATCTCACTCATCTCTTAATTTGCCACCTTGATGATAACTTTTCCTTAGACTGTGGTTGCAGTCTTTAGCTAATAGTTAATAAGTTGCACTTTTTATGCATAATATGAAATATTTGAAAATAAACCAACTTATAATTTGACTACATTTAGCAAATGGAGCCAAATTATAACAGATAATTATTTGAAGCACAGGTACTAGTTGCACAATAATGAGTATCCCAACAATCCAGAGAAATCAAGTATTACCAGGTATTTAAATATTCTTTTGTTGATCAGAATAAGGAACTTCTACTTAATAATTCTCTCAGGTTTTCTGTCTGCCTCAGTAATAAACAATGAATTGCAGTGGCCCTTTTGTTTTAAGCTTGTGGCCACAAGGCTGGACCAGGATCCATCTTTGCCATCATGCACAGTTATCGCAGTGGTAAAAAAAATAAAAAAATAAATCAAAAGTTCACTGTAAAGTGCAGCTTCTTTCAGGCAACCAATTTTCTGGTCCCATGTGCATTACAGTACAAAGACGTCTGTCTTCTGCATTTATCCCAATTCTCAGGGGAGCAGTGGGTTGCTTGCAGCACCCAGGGAGCATTCTATGACTAAGGGTCTTGCTCAGGGACCCAGAAGCAATTTGTGGGAATTAATTCAGGTACTTAGAGCCTTTGTCAGAACGCACGCACACTGCTCTAACCACATGGCTCACCATGTCTCCATAACAACCATTCATTCCTATTACCATGTCAATTTTTTTTTTTGGTTTTGGAAAACTTTATTTATCCCATAAAGGGCAACCTGTTTAGAAAGATAAAAGCAGTCTATCCATAAAATATTTCTCAACTGCCAGCAACAAAACCAACCTAGCAGCAATGTGGTATAAAAATTCTGACCTTGAACAAATTTCAAAACATTTACCTGATAAGTTAATGATTTTTCTTGTTATGCATTCATGCAGTCCCCAACCAGAGTCATTGTGAATTACACCATAAACTAGAATGGCTTCTATTTGCAACAGAGACCCATCAGTTTTAAGTAATGCTTCAATATTCACTTTTATCAGACCGTCTTCTTTTGATGCCGTGTGCTGGGTCATAATCATCACTGCTTGAATCCAGTTCTTACCTGAGGCCTTTTGCTTACATTTATTTTTTAATACTACAAATTATGTTTCTTTTTTCATCCTATGCAAAACAAAAATAATGTGCTCACTGCAGCTGACTGAAGGGAACAGCAGACATTAGCAAGAGAGAAGCTATAGGGTCAATTTGTTGATGGATACAAATACTGTTTAGTGGCTCTCAAAATAGTTAAAATGCCAAGGTTTTAGGGTGTTAGAAACCTGATTACCATAATGTACATATCCGCAAATAAAAATTTGTTTAAAAATATATAGCATTAAGTCTCTTTTGTTGGAATCAATCAACACCAAACGTTTTTACTTGTATTTAACATCAATTTTTTAAGTCTATTGGACATTTAAAAAAAAACACTCATATTAACAGCCATGTTTATGATGTAATTTAACTTTATGCTAAATTTAGTTCTGCACTCTAGCAGATACCAAAAGCTACATTTAAAACAGATTGATGGGTGGAAATGTAATCATTTTATCCATATAGCCAGAAACCCCAATTTCATTGTAAGAAACATCACCTCAGAGCATCATACTGTTAGACTGGTATTTTCATAGGTTATAATCAGTGTTGTTTTCCCTCAAGCACAATAGTGAAGCAGCATTCTATCAGATCCTTTAAATGGTATTCCACTGGGTGTTTCAAAAAAATAAAAATAATTCTTCTCCTGACAGATACTTTTCTACAATGAGATCCTTCTGATTCTATCACTTTTATGGCTTTAAACAGACAACAATGTCTTTCAAGCCCCACATGCCTCAAAGAGCTTTGTTTCATTTTTAGTTAACCTGTGAAGCATTCATGTGACATCAAATGTGATAAACAGTTGAAACTTGTTTATCACAGTTTTGTTTCTCAAGTCCTCAAGAACTTGGCAGTTTACAAGTTTAAGAGCCGCTGTAATTTATAAAGCATGTCAAAAGCATAAAAGGTGTTACTTATTGACAATTTTAGCATTTTATATAACATAATCATTTATTTCAAATAAACCTTGTATAATTAACTATAATAAGTAACTGAAAATTAATAATGACCAAATATCTTTCTGATAAGCAGCAATTTCTACTTGGGCTTGGGGGAGGTGGCATGTGGTTGCCATGCTTTCATGCTGCTGTTCATCTAGCTTTATGTATCAGTCATCGCAATTACTTGCATGAAGTAGCAGCTTTACACTTTATATTTTATTATTCAAATAATAAGTTTTTTGATCAAAGTTCTAAAAATGCAATTCCTAAGGTTGCTATAGTTTAGAGAACCACAGTAGAAATATATTTCTGAGACAAAAACATAACTATAGGGTAACATGGACCCATATCTGCAATTGTTCTCATCTTGTCTGTGGTTCCCAATCCTGCGTTTGCATATATTTTTAGGTGTCTTCTTGCTGCAACCCACCTAATGTATATAAATGAGAGACTAACAGGCTTCTGCAGGACTTGATGGATACTTAGGAAGTCAAGAAATCAATTGAATCAGGTTTACTGAAACACGTGCACCTAAAATAGGCAAGGCTGTGGCGCCAGAGAGCCCGATATATAAACATCAACATCGCTATTTTCTGGCTTTTGGTAATTTCTCTGCCACACCACTAGCAGGTGGTATGTGTACAACCACACTTAAGAGATTTTGTAGATCATGATTAAGATAATGTTCCCATGGATTGTCTGTCATTCATCTTATCCTAACAATGACCTTATATCTGAGAAAAGATGGAGCTAGCTATTAACTATATAGGCCTTTAAAACTCATTCTTGTTATTATTATTTTTTAAAGCTTTTATTGTCATTACACTGTCACAAGTACAGAGCAACAAAATTAACTTTCTGCATTTAACTCCTCCCCTTGGGGAGCAGTGGGCTGCCTTTGTCCGGCGCCCGGGACCAATTTGGGGTTCAGGTTCTTTTGCTCCCACAGACTGCCACTCTGGGGCAGTCTGTGGGAGTGGGGCTTGAGTTCAGAAACTCTTGATTTCAAACGCAATGCCCTAACCAGTAGGCTGCCACTCCCCTAATTACGAAACTTTATTCAACCAATGCTTCAACTAATATGCAATACACTGTAATGGCTTGGATGCATGATTATTACTGATAGCCATGTCACTTCACAGGAACTCCAAAGTCCTAAGCATGCTACAAAAGCAATGCTACATATAAAAGTCCCTAATTTAAATAAGGTTCAGTTTGATGCAGGCTGTATTTCTAAAAATAAAATGGCAAGAAAATAAAGAAGATTAAAGATCTAAAGTAATATTTACAGTGTTTCTTGTGCCTCAATCTTTTTGTCAAAGACTTACCTTTAGTAACAAAACCTTAAAAGACTTTGGGTCATAATTAACCAAAGTTTCTTTACTGCACTTGAATTGCTGTCACTAACAAATCGATATAAAAATATAACTCAGTCCTTCTTCAGCTACAAAACACATTAGGCCCTTGAAATGATTCAGATATTTTCCTTTTTTTATAACAGTGCTTCATCAAAATAAAAAATGTTTAAAACTCCTATTTTTTGCAGATAAACACAGGCTCCAAGGTGTTCATTGTTCACTGCTGTAGATTTTTGCTCATGTTGTCCAGAGGCATTTCACGGTTTCCCTTTGTTCTCAGTCTGACACCAGGACCAATTCAGCGATGACGTCAGAGCTGCTTTAAATCCCCCTGCAGAAGGAAGCTGCTGCTCGCTGAGCTCTGACACACCTCCTCCTTTATCATTAAAGACTATCAGGGCAAGGATTTGGAGATTTCACAGCATTATCCACTCATTAGCCATCAAATTGGGCCACTAGTGATACCACAACCACAGGTTGGTTGTCAGAAGATGGTGCCTTGGTGAGATCAATGGTTGGTTCACAGGACGGCCCCAGCTGGGGAACTGTAGCGGCAGGTTGACCCAGAGAGGCAACCATAAATAACAAATCGTTGGTTCGACGAGGGCCGGTCACTGCTACCCCCTTCATAGCCTTGGTAGCAGCCTTGGAGGAGCTCTTCATGCTGGAGCTTCCACGAGGAGCTTCACAGTGTAGCAGGGCTTGGAAACACCTATAAAACTGGGGCAAGTAGACAAACACAGACCAGTAATTTAAAACCAGACGTGGAAATGGAATGTTTCTAGCTTTTTCTCATCATATTGATCATAGACAGATGTTATTTTTTTGTACAGTTACTACTGTAAATCTACTTCATGTTTCATTAAAAGAACATTCTTTTAAACATATTATGCATTTTCTTTTAATGCTCATTTCCACAACTAACTATCCAACTTTTTGGTACTTAATGTTCCGTCTCAATTGTCTGTTTTCTCCATATGTTTGAAATATTTATTTTTTGTGTTTTTATTGGGTGTTAACTGTGTCACTAGCAAAATACATCATTGAAAACAGGTCATTTGTGTCTAAAGTGCCAGTTAATAAAATTTGCCAAGTGGGGAGCAACACTGGTTTGCAAAGGTATGCTTTTTATTGCATAACAAGTGATAGAAAAAGCCAAAAAATAGTAATAACCAAGCATTGAGCAAAGAATTGACATACAAATCTATTCATAAAGCTCTTTAACAATAATATATGAAACGCATAAAATTCCACAAAAATGTATAAAATAAAAAAAATCAAAGCATCAAACAAGGTAAGGCCATAACACTCTAGGAATGATCAAAGACAACATCTCAGACCAGGTTAAGCCAAAGTAAAAACATTTTCAGATGGATTGTCTGTGAAAAGAGTAATGATTATTGTTCTTAGCAGGACATGATTGAGGTATTTCATTAACAACATCTTTTTTGGCCAAACTACATCTACCTGCAATTTTGTTCTTCTTAAATATGGCAGCTCCTTCCTGTTCTTGAAGCAAGACTGTGTTACTTTACCTTTGGGGTGCAAGCAAGTAACCTTTAGGTTTAGCATTCCTTAAATCAAGTGGCAACCCTGTGCTGTCACAAGCTTAAGCAGTCTCCCTTCATATTTTAAAACCTGATATACAGAGGACCACTTTGGACCAGCAGATTGAGTTGATCAATCATCAAGTTAGTTTTAAAACAAAGCCATATTCACCCCTCTAGATTAAATCCTAAATTAGAGACTCAAAAACATGTCAGGTAAAAGTTGTATGTTTTGTCGCCGAACAACAATTTTTAGCTTAGTTACCTCTGTGTTTAAAGGGGGGCTCAGATGACTGGCTCATCTAGGTCACATGATTCATTCAGTGACATCTCTTTGATTTTATGGGTAAGTTTTTGAGAAGTGAAGTCTGCTTAGAGCCTCAATACGCATCAAGTAGCCTAATGTAGACTGACCTGAAAAATTCTTAAGTCGGGCGTACACTTTGTGATTTTTTCAATCGTTGCACTCAGCTACGACGAAAACGCAGGGTTTTGTCGTACAGTGTGAGTTTACAGCTCACAATGCATGTTCAGCCCGACGCTCTGATGCGATCTACCTGCTCACACTGTATGATGAGCAAGTTTCCATGTCCAGGTTGGGCAGATGCAGTGTAGCTGGCTACGAGTAATGATTACACTTTATATTCACAATAGAACATTATTTTCACCTATCTTATCAGTGAAGTTTAGAAGCAGTTGATCTTTCTTAATTCTTGCTAAGATTTATTGTTGGTGCACAATAATCAAACATGACCTCTTTTTAACTAATTAATTCAAGAAATTTTACAATAAAATGACCTGAGCAATATTTAGGTGATGTGATTAATAACAAAAACACTCAATGCAAAAAAGCTACAGAACTTTCACATGTGCCAAGATGGTGTCATGTCCGTGTTTGTGTATTTTTACTGGGCTTCAGCACTTAAGTTCCACAACACCTCCTTTCTACATTTACCACATTTGTACATTTCGTTTGGCACATGTGCCTGGACTGTAGGATGAGATGGAGTTGGCAATAATAATAAAAAAAAAGTAAATAAATATCAGAGACTGCAGCAAACCTGTCAGTCCTAACTTGTCCACTGCATGGGTCCATGTCACTGAAGCATAGGTGTAGTATAATGCCTTGAATGTGGTTTTGGGTCATAAAGACGATGATCAGTGAGCGTCCCAGTTTTGCCTACTATGATTCAAGTAGTGAGAAAAGTTTTATCACCCTCGTTCAAGAGGATTAAAAAAAGTGCCAGTAGTTCATGGAGGGCCATGACCAAACTGTCGAGCTGTGTCTGGTGCTGATATTGAACAGTCCACTCCACTCCTGATCAGCTCAAAACATGTCAAGAGTGATGAAGCAGAGGAAGCTTTCTGACTGTCCACCTTTCTTTGGGTCAAAGTCGTTGGCTGTCGATCTGCGGCACACAATTATATTGTGCTGTGATAGAGACGCTTGCCAACCAATTCCCTATGGCCACAGACCCATATTTTGCCTTCTTCTTTGGTACTCCGTGTCTCCGTTCAGCCTCTCTTTTTTGGGGGGGTCCAGAGTTTCGTCATCTGTAGGGTTAGCATATTTTTGAGATGTGAGTTATGGGCTATCAAATGATGTGAGCAATGGAAACTCAAACAAAGTTACACATTTAGGCAAATATATTTCTTGATTTATAATCCTCAGACATCTCAAGAATCCTTGTATTTTTTTTTTTTAAATCTTTTCCTAAAATACAACTGCCAAAATTGGCAAAGGAAATTAAGATGTTTGAAAACTCTTACCAAAAGAAATTTCGGAATCTGGACTCACCTGAAGGTTTTAGTGTTCTCGATCTCTGTCACAAGGGTTGACTTGATTCAGGATCATGTCCAAAGCCTGCTAATTGATGTTGATTTACATCATCTTCATTTCTTAGTGGATGGTCATACAGCATGAAATAGTTATAGACAGTAGAAGTATAAGTATTATTTGTGAGAGAGCTATTTATCCACTTTGGTCAACATTACAGTTATGCCCACCCTTCCTCCACAACACCTAGTAGGACTGCCTTTTTATCCATCCATCCATCCATCCATCCATCTTTTTTATTGTCCTTGTTTTGAAGGAGAATATCTGTGTTTGTCCACAATTAAAGTCAGAAAATACGTAGATCCACGTAGCAATTTACAACAACCATCAAAACCATCACTTATAAATGGTAAGGAGACAAAATTATTAATGACTAACAGATAGTTCTTCTGCAGTTTTAGTTTATCCCCAACCCCAAAAATCATTTGCTTCATGCCTAACCCCAATCTGATGGATTTATATTGCTTTGCCATGTTGGTTTACCCTGAACCTAACATCAGTGGTCTTTATGCCAAACCCTAATCGGGCTGATTCAAACCACCATGCCATGTTGGTGTATCCCTAACCCCAACATCAGTTGACTTCATGTCAAACACTAATCTGGGTGATTTTAACCACCCTGCCATGTTGGTTTACCCCTAACCCTAACATCAGTGGGTTTCATGCCTAACCTTAATCTGGCTGATTAAAACCTCTCTCTTACATGTTGGTTTACCCTTAACCCTAACATCTGTGAGTTTCATGCCTAACCCTAATATGATGGATTTATATAGCCCTATCATGAGTGTTTAGACCTTGCCTTAACATCAGTGGATTTAAGACCTGAACCTAGCCTTTAAAAATGGTTTAGATTCAGTTTATAATGTAATTAAACTGTAATAAACTATCTGTTAATCCTCAATAAATAGCCACTTGATAATTCATAAATGATGGTAAGTGTAAATGTAACCGTAACATTTATTTAAGCAAGAAAAGACACTCCATGTGAACTCCTACAAATAAGATGTACTTCACAACACTCTTCAGTTCAGACTTTCAGAGGGTCAACTTCATAACAGAGTAAAAGAAAAACACAGTTGTTATCATGTAATAATGCCTTGTCTTGAAAGTCAGGTGGCTTGGTTACCAGAATTGCATTTTTGTGCCCTTGATATTTGGTGGAACAACAGAAAAGCAAAATGTATATATAACATTTATGTTATTATTGTGTTTACACAAATAGGTATTTGTAGTTAGAATTGCCTACAAGTAAATGGCTTATTTGGAAAAAAGACAAGGGTGGGTTATTGACTGTTTAGCCATTATTTGTGAAAAAATCTACACTGTTTTTATCTATTCGAAATTTCATCCTTACCTAATTTAGTCTACTAATTGACTGATACTGAATAAAGGGTACATGAAAAAAGTATGAGATGGTCAAAAGCTTATATGCTATAGGTGATGACTGATAATAGCGTGTTTTGAAAGCCCCTATGAGGCATCTATGCTCTATTTAAGCATCATTGTCCTGCTGTAGAAGATAGCTGCTTTCAGCTTTGGATCATCAACAGATGGCCAGACATTCTCCTTTAGGTTTTTTTTTTTTGGTAGACAGCAGAATGCATGTTTCCATTTTTTACAACAAGGCTTCTGGCTCCCGAAGCAGCAAAAAAAGCCCCAGCTCATCACATTACCCCCATCATATTTTACTGCAAGTATGATGTTCTCTTCCTGGAATGATGTTACTTATAGCCCAGTTGTAACAGGGCACACACCTTTCGAAAGGTTAAACATTTGTCTAGTCAGTCCACAAAATATTTCCTCAAATTCCAAATTAGTTAAGAGTTTTTAACGCTTTGATTTTTTAAATGAGGTTGTCCTGGCTGAGAGCAGTGTGCTGTTTTTTATTCCCAGAGTTTCACACCTGGAAGTAGTCAGAGATTACCAAAACCAGAGGAACAGATGGGCAAAAAATTGCTATAATGCGTATTTATGTATAGATCATTTTTAAAATGTGGCCATAGCCTACTCTGTTGGCCTCTGGCCACTCCAGGGAAATGAAGATAAGGGACCTAATTTTCTGTTTTTTCCACACTTACTCATATCCATATTTATGGCCCAGAAAGAAAACGCTTTCTGCGTTTTGGTATCTCCACAAAGTGGTACCAGCAACACAGAAGATGATGTGACACAGGTTATTGAACTTTACTCAACAATAGGCCTGGGGGCTGTCATACTTTTTGTTTTTGTTTCTTTACATGCATTCATGATTCATCTAGGTCATTAACTCTGAAACTGGATATGGATGTCTCTCTTGGGGTGTGAAGCAAATAACAGGACAGTTGAGATCCAAAGGG